CTCCCACCTCAAACATTGCCGCCTATCCCAAATCCAGAAAAGTGCCACGGTCTCTCTTTCCAGCACGTAATCTTTTGCGCTGTTTTCCGCAATTCGTGTTTCGGTTGATGCCCCTTGTGTATGCTTGCAAATCTTGTTCACGGGAATTTGTGGTTGAATAGGACAATACGTAGTTAGCTGTCACGCCCTGCTGTAAGATTGACAAGTGTTTGGCTTCTTTAGATCCCGTTGCGTTGCGAACATTTCTTATTGGTCCTTGTCCTTTTTTTTTTCTTTTTTGTTGCCGGCGTCTTTTTTGTGTGTGTCAGTGGAGCTTAATGGAGTATCGCTGTGATGACAGCTTCCCGCTTGTTTTCCGAAAGGGATCCCCGCTTGGGTAACGTTCTATTTCTGTCGGTGGCAGCGGCACACAAAGTCGCTGCGGTTCGAGCAACTTTAGACCAAAAATGGCGGATATCCGTGGTGTGTCCTCCTTCTCTTCTGCTGCTTCCGTTGTCTGCAACATCGTTGTCCCTGGTCTGCTCACGTCAGACACTCGCCGAATAAAGCGCCAGGAATCTTCAACCCCCTTTATTTTCTTTGAACAAACCCCGGGAGCTCAGTGGTTCGGTTATGTGCCGAACAAACGTTTATTCGAACATTTTCCAGTCGTAAAAATAATAGTGAAGACAGAAAGAAATACAGCGAGAAAGGGAGAGAAAGAGAACCGTCTGAACTATTTTGAGTAGGAACAGCCGAAACTAAAAAGGCGGACGCGACTGTTCTCTCATTTGCCGCGGCCACGGTGTAGTGGACGGGTTTAAATTTTTCCAGAACGCTAGCTTCCCCGCATAACACAGAGCAAGCGCCCTAGTTTTTGTTTATTTATTCGTCCTGCGGGTCTCTGACAAGCTGAGGAGATGTCGAGGAGACGAGCGTTGTGGTGAGCGGTTCGTAGATGGCGCCACCCGTCCTACTGTTTGCTTTTACAAACTCGTCTGTTTTTGGTTGGGTCGTCGGGTGCCGCGCCTGCTGTGCCTGTGCGCTGCCCTGTGTGTCTGCGGGCTGCTGGTTCGTGTTCGCCGATTTGTGACTCATTTATTGATTCGAACTGTGACTGGCAGCGATTCTCGTTGGTTGACTCCACAGGCTCGGCAAATTACCCGCAAGTGAGTATACCGACACCGACTGGTTTATCGACAGGCGAACAAACGGGCGCCAGCTTTCGAAAAGGCACGGGCCAAAGTTTCTGCTCGAGCGAATCGCATAACTTGGCCCCTCCCATGTTTCGGGGGGTGACAATTATTTCGGCTTTGGGGGAGCCCGAAATATGATACTTACGGGTCGTGTGGCGAAGTTTGCCATCGTCAACACCTCTTCGAGTTTGAGATTTTTGGCTCATCGCCGAGATCGGGCTGTTTCTGTCGTACAAGCCCACAGTCTATCGACTCTCGAAGTGTGGAGTGTCGTAGCTGCCATGTAAACATGTTAAGAATTCGTGTGGGTGGGTTGGGCATTTCCACAGCTTGTGTCGTGATGATGAAGGTGATGTTGGGGAGTTTCTGGTGACGTGTGCGGCGAACATGAAGGCACTCTAGTTATGACATTCCTGCAGCATCCGCACGCTCTTGGTTGGAGGACTGCGTATGGGTATAATAAAATTCGTTTGGTGGCGATTTTGCGGCTGGCGAAAACAACTTGTCGCTGCTAAGTTTCTATATTTATGGTTAAGAAATGGTACACGTAAAAGTGGCACACAGCTGTCGTGTAGTTGGCGTAGAGTTTCCTGTTATTAAAACTACATATGCAAACTTTTTTTTATGCATCCTTTGTTTTGTGAAACTCCCGTTATGATTAAGAAATGGTACACGTAAAAGTGGCACACAGCTGTCGTGTAATTGGCGTGGAGTTTCCTGTTATTAAAGCTACACATGCAAATATATTTTTTATGTATCCTTTATTTTGTGAAACTCCCGCATGCCGCTGTGCGCAAATATTTAAACAAAAACTATCCATACCCTCTTTTATTTATTTTTTTATTAATGATTGGAAATTGCTTAACCCCTTATTCAGATCTTATATCTCCAATTTTAATATTTGAGAACAGTTGGTGCGATAATGTTTACTTAAAAAGTATGCCGCTGTATGCTCTAGAGGCTATGTTTCGTTTAGTCAGCTGAGAAGTGTGTATGTTTTCTGCGTTCCTTGAACACTAATGAGTTCCGTTAACCTTTTTGATTGGTCTGTTGAACAGCAGCTGTCTGCAAAATGACATTAATAATACCTTGTTAATTAGTAAAAATTTCTCCGAACAAAACATCATTTTTTAAACCGTTTTTCCACAAGGCACCATTTTTCAAACATACCAGCAGACATTGTTTTGGCAAATTTAATTTTTACTGCCGATGCTTGAAACTTAACGGTGCAAAATCATTGCTCTACATAACCTTTTTTCTTCCCAGAAGGCAATTAACTTCTTGGATGATTGTTACAAACATTGAGCCTTCAGAATAAACATTAAACTGTTTTTTTTTCCTATCCCAGTATCCCAGAAAATATTGTTTTTCAGGGTTCTAATCTCGAAGGGAACAATCAATAAGGATAAACTCTATGAAAGATGACACTAATATATGGTTCTTTGAACATCCCAGTAAATATTGTAGAAAATATTGATTGCAGACTGCATATTTAATATTTGGTTACAGAAGTGTTCTGTTGGGAGGCAAAATCTAAAGTCAAATTGGACGTTTTAGTGATTTATACAGCGTAAGGTTGGTCTGCCAGTAGGAGCGACACTGGTTTACACTGTAGATGAGCAATTTTGCCAGTGCAGTACGACTGCTAACCTGGGGTCTTTGACGTACCGGCGTGCAGTAGTGATACACAACCGCACGCCGGTACGATGCTCATCCAGATCGAAACGGGCAGGGGTGGGGCTCGAACCCAGGATCCCTGGGTTCTGCAGCACGAACTTTCGCTCCACACGCGTCGAGCTGGGTGTGTGCTTCAGCCCACTCGGCCACCGATCCCCCCTTGTTGGGAGGCAGTTCTTTTATTTAAGAGTTAGCTGAAGTGAAGTTCCACTTTAGGTACCAAGATATGAAACATTGTTTCACAAAAGATTTATTTTTGAGTTAAGGGACATGAATCTAGCCCTTTCTTGTACACTGGCTACTGATAATAAACACCTCAAGCTCATAGGGCATGAGACAGGAATCCGTTTTTTTTTTCTCAAAGATCTTCATTCCTGAAGTTAACATTTCTCAGGTTTACATTTCTCTGCCTCAACTGCCCACCACCTCCTAATCAAAAAAAGCAACTAATTATCTCTTGAAGATTAGTAATCCTTAAAGGGTTACTGCGGCGATTTCTTCATGGATTCCGATTTGCTTGAAATTTTGCTAAACTCGCCAGACAACATCGCCAAAATAGCATCCCAAATATTAGGTCAAAATAATTTTTTTTTTTTCACAAAGCTATTGAATTTACAATTTTGGTCCTCAACGTGTTTTTCAAACTGAAAGTCTCTACTGGCAACAACGAAAAAGTGACATCAGTGGAAGTGCAGGGGTTCACTCTTTGGACTGTAGAATTTGTTCCCAACTGATTCGAAGCAGTTTCATTGCGTCATATGAATGCTTTGGAAGCTCGCTCCAGTCCCCGCGCTCCAGCACGGAACAAATGATTGGCATATTCTATTTTTTAGACTGCTCGCTCGACTGGCAAGCCTGCCCGCCACTGACGTCACGGCACTGAAAAGTGCGGGTATATTTGAATGTTGGTTTTTGCATAATTTTCATTTTCCGATTTCGCAATAACTATTATGAATTTCGCGCTACTAAGTAGCATACCGGAAAGGGTAAAGGCCGAGGAGTCAGAAAATATAGTTAGTTGAGGTAGCTCAAAAATCGTTGGAGGTACCCCTTTAAAGGGCAACTCCGCTCAATTCTGAAAAATTCAGGCTTCCATGTGATTCACATTCACAAAGCGCTACTAAACAACTCTACGTCTTCGGATTCGCAAAATGTGGAATATTATTTGTGTAATCCTAATTCAAACATCAGCAGATACCGAAACCGAAACTTCGGTTGCGTCAGGCAACATTGGTCTCGGGTCGTCAGAGTCATGGTCACGTCACGTCAAACCACGTGGTCTTGTGACGTTAGGGAGGGAGCGAGAAATAGGACACAAGACGCGGGCAGGTCTTTTTTTTTGGACGCGGGCAGGTCGCTTCGCATGGCGCGGACGGTGATGGCCCGGGGGAGAGGGGGAACGGGAGAAGACGAAAGAGGAGAAGGGGAGCGGAGAAACCGACCGATAAGCACGCAGGGCAGCGCAAACTAGCGCATCCGTGTTACGGTGATCACGCGAACGCCCGGTCAGCCAACACCGGGAGGAGAAACTCATGACGTCGTCGTTCAATTTTGCTCTGAGAAGTAAAAACAAACAAAACGTGAGAATGACGTATCATGCCTCTGACGTAGTGGCTCAACGTTGGCCGCTCCAACTCCGTCGCATTGACTGCGCTGATGATTGCGCCTCGCGCCGCACGCTGGAGTTGGCAGATTTCGGTGACTTGGCTCGCTTGAAGGTTTGCTGGGCAGTTTATTAAATGTATAAACGGAATTAGATTGTAATATTTGACATGGGGTCTTCTTATATGATACTGAAGACGGCTACATAGTTTTCTAAATATCAAAAATGAAACGGAGTTGCCCTTTAAGCCTCAGAAACAACTTAACAGAAAAAAGAAAACAAGGAAATTGCAGCCGGTAGCACCGTTTCAAGATACAGGACGAGACATTTGCATGCAGGAAAGGAGAATCATCCTGTTTCCTGGGAGTCAGCACGCTTCCGTTTCACGGTGCCTTTAAGAGATGGGGTGCGCCTCTGCGAAAAGACTCCAGATAATGCCACTCCCCGTGTGCCGTTCATTGATACAGGAAATGTTCTAGTGTCTGCACTGGAGCATCCAATAGTTGGTCTTGCTCAGTAGCCTTCCCTGCCTCTGCCCCAAACAGACGCCCTGCTGGCAGACCTGCAGCAGACGACGGCCAACCTAAGCAACGGAGGCTCCCCGATGTACACCAATGTGCACCGCCCCCTGGGGGGGCCGCTCAGCAACGACCTCTCCTCCACCCGCACCGTCACCACGGAGCGCTATGACTACAAGCCCACTCCAGATAAGGCCACCTCGGTGAGTCAATTTTCCAGCTGTCAGTTCCGTTCAATGCTCGGGTGCTCCGATAGATTATTGTCTCTGACATGGTGAGAACGACGGGGCAAAGCTTCGGTTGCCTTTAGCGCGAGCTCTCTACCTTCAACGACCCTTCGGCGTCTTGTGCAGCTTGAGCTTGCGTGCGTGCGGTTAAACCGTTGCGGAAGGCACGGAGCTTGTGCTGAGGGCCAGGTGCTTTGACAACATGTTCTGCTGTCAGTGACTATGCGGAGTGTGAGTTCGTCTGCTTTTTGCGCAGGGGTTGTGGTGATGCCAGAACGCCTCATGGTTTAGATAATGATCATGATGTAGGAAACCCGAGACTGTGGTAAAAGCAGGGAAACGTTGTCAAAGAAGAAAGACAGGGGAAAAGAACGTCATTCTTTTCCCCTGTCTTTCTTCTTCGACACCGTTTCCCTGCTTTTACCACAGTCTTGGGTTTCCTACATCATGATCAACATCCACCGGCTCACCTGTGCACTCACTGTTTTTTCATAGATAATGATGTTTGATATTTTGTCTGCTTTTGCAGTCTGAACTCTAAAAAATGTTTCTCTGACCATAAGTTGCACACGTTTGTCTATTCGTCAATGCACTCTCATTTGCTATAAAATGTGAATACAGTGGAGATGTGTGTTCCAAACAAACAAAACTTGCTTTTTTCACTTTATTGGTATGTTAGACATTAAAGGGAAGCTGAAACACTTCGTTCAAGAAATGAGATAGAGGTTGATTCTAGCCTAGTTTAGCCGTGAATCTGAATATCACCTTCGTTTTCCCCAACAATGTAACAAGACATGAGAAAACACAAACCTCAGACCAGTTGTGACGTCATAAGAGGACCTTTCAGCCACCAAGTGCATGGCGCTCAAGAGCTGTGCGTGGAATCGCAAGCTTGCCAGGTGTATTCCCCTGCACTGGCAACAGTTGTGACGTCTTTTTCTGCCTTTTTTAAAAATAGCAAGAGCGCTTGCATAGCTTTGATAGGCACTGAAGTTGCGCAAGAGCGGGGATTCCAAAAACTCCTTTTGTGACATCACACTTCCGGAAGCAGGACCTTCAGCTGTACTTTGAAAATGATTTTCTGCAGCCTCCATGCGCCCAATTAAAAAAAATTATTTCAATATTTGAGATCTTGGAAGTCAAGTGAAGATGATTAAAGTGTGTTTCCTCGAATACAAAACCGCTTCAGCTTCTCTTTAACATTAAAATATATACCAAATTTCTCAGGCTGTGTCAGAAACATGCACCGCTTTGCGAGATGCCCCAGGTTGTGTACGGAGCACACAACTTCTAGTGTTTTGGTGTATTCTGAAACAATCGCCGACATATAACAGAAATAATGTTTCGGCAACATTTGTTTAAACAAACAATCTTCAGACAATCTTTTCAACGTTCCTTGAAAAGCTTTTTGCCTATGTGGGAGAGAAACTTCTTTTGTTTTACATCTGTTATGGAGTATGTCAGTCTTCAGCTGGCAATTTCAGCAATTGCAATCACTTTCCTTTTGTTGGATTGTTTCATTTAAAAACAGAATTCAAAGCTTAATATAGCCTTAGGTTATCTTGCTCATATATAACAAGTTTCCAGGCATGTTTTTTTTTTTTTCATTCACCAATTCTTACATGCGACTTAAACAAGGCGAGACACAATGAAGTAGGTTCCAACGACTACCATTTCAGCAGACATTATGTCGGCACCTATTCTCACCGCCGTACTTGGTAACAAGCGTCAAGAACTGGAAATTTGAGCTATAGACTCCGTGCGACTCGACTGGCGCGCCGCCGCGCGGCCGGTACCGAAGGTAGGCAGTGAGAACCCCAGAGAAAACGAAACCGAAATCACGCCGCGTACATTGGTACGCATTGAAGTCGGAGCGGTGCGGTTGCGCTGGGTTCACAGCATGAAGTGCTGCCTGTGCTGCGTCATTAAGTGCTTCAATAGTTATGCATCGTATCTCGTGGGGACAAAGCTTCACAGTTTTTCACCTCGCCCCCCCCCCCCCCCCCCCCCCCCCCTTATATGTTGCTATTTTCACTAAAAGGTTGGTGTATAAGTTGCACATGATGGAAATTCGGGAAAAGGACCGCGACCTATACGGCGGAAAGTAAGGTAGTTTATGATCGTGAACCGACGTGCTAGCATCGCCGCTTTGGCGATGCTGACACCAGACCAAGGTCTCATGCTGACCCATACGCTCGTTTGCATGTTTCCCACGTGCAGCCCATTTACCAAAACCAGTACATAGTGCGTGAGGTGACGACCACCACGACCAAGACGTCGTCGCCCTCATCGCCCAAGTCCCCCCGGAGCAGCCGCCTGCTGGACGGTGCCGGCAGCCCCCCCACTCCCCGGAGGTCCCCCCTGGGCAACAACCTTTCCGAGCTGGATAACCTGCTGGAGGACCTCAACACGGCCAAGTTCCCCCCGCCGGCCATCACCACCCCGTCCCCACCGACGTCCAGAAGGAGAGGTATGTTTCGTGGGCACTTTGGCGTCCTCGACGGCATGCATGCATTTCCTGCGCAGAGCAGTACCCTATTTTCCGGACTGTGCAGAGAGTAAGTCATCTGCTTCTTGCACAGGAGTTGTGGTGGTGTCAGAATGATGCCGAGCTCTGATTGGCCTTGATTGAAAGGATTGTGGGTAGACCTCAATGGTTAGATGCCTTGAAGGCTACCCACTATTTTTTTTTTTTTTCAATCAGCCAATAAATGCTTGACATTCTGACATCATTGGAGCCCCTGTGCAAGAAGCAGGTGAACTTGCGCTTTACATAGTCCGCACACCCGAGCAGCAAATACGAGGCTCCTCTATCTGCTTTTAGAGGGGGGGGGGGGGGGGTAGACATGGGAGCAGAACATGGCAAATCTTAAGCCTTGACATCGGTGGTTTAAAGAGGGAGAACAAGAGAGAGAACACCAGAAAAGAGGAGAAAGGAAGCAGACAAAAGGTTAGGCATGTTCGTTTTCCTGCTGATAAGGTCACGGATATTTTGTGCTCCTGTTGGCCACAGTTCGGACGGGTCCACGGCAGTAATGAGAGAAATGCTCACATTTTCTTCTCTTTTGCTGCCACTTCTCTTATCAATCACCAGGATTGCGGCTATGCATAACATAACATAAGATGAGATGCCAGCTCCTGCGGCATATTTTTTTTTGCCATGTCAGGGACGCTTCATTGCATGGACAGTACGGGTGCTGGGTGCACCAATTGGACGAAGCGTTCCAAGAACTGTACCCAATGTTCCAGTCGCTTGGTTGCATTTCTTTACATCCAACAGGCGGACAAACATATGAGGATGAACTTTACGATGAAAGAATAGTCGACTCAAGATAGGAAACAAAGCTTACGATCTTAAAAACATTCCACACGTAAAGACGGTGGAAAAATGACATGCTGACAAAATATTTACTAGAGATTGCATACACATGCAAAGATTGCAGAAAGAAACTAGGCATTTGTAGCAGGGGATGGACGCTAGATTAGTAGGTGCTTGTCACACAAACAGAAATTCCTCGTGCTCTTCAGCTGATTTCGACGAGCGTAGAGGTACGGATGCAGATGGTGCAGATGGCGTTGAGACCTCTCTACCGGGTGAAACATGTTCATCATCATATAGTGCAACCCACTTGTAATAATACCACATATAACGATGTACTGCTTATAACTATCAGTTTCTAGAGTTTCTAGACTGGGAATGATCAGTTTCTAGTCCAGACACAACGATAATCAGTTCTGATGGTTGAAATTTTGGGTTTTCTGATTATCATTATAAGTGGGTTGCACTGTAGCGATTGATCTATTCGACTATACCTGATTCTCAAAAACCTTTTGAGAAATATCTTACTCGTTCCTTGTTACTACAGTTTCCAGGTGAGACAAGGCATGCTAGACGTTCATAACTTTTATTCTAGGTTGGTGGGGCTGGAATTCATGTAGATTCACATTCACAATGACTTCTGCCATTGTTCACTTTGTTGATGAAGGATGACCTCGAGGTTTGCCTTGCTTAGTTTTTTTTTTTCTGATTGCGTGGCCGACATCTGGGAAAGCAGATCAGTTGATAATGTGGGAATGGTGAAAGTCAGGATTTCAGTAGATTGTTACTCGGTCCCCTGTATGAGAATCTGAAGCATTGGCACGTAGAAGTGAATCCCGGCCAAACCTAGACAATAAGTGCCTCTCGGAACAAACCTGGATAAACTCTTGTTTGTGAGTCTTGGGTTAATTTATAGCTCATCTTTGTAATTTACGAATCCAAGTGACTTTCAGTTTGTGTGAAATTTATTGACATTCGTGAGAATATTAAAGTATATTTCGCCTCCTTATCGTCCATGCCGGGGTAAAAATTGCGAGCCTGTACACTTGGCAGACACGGGAGTGGTTACATACTGTAGAATACCATTCATCTGCCCATTACACACTAGATAATCTGAAAAAATATGCATAGCACACATATATGTAAAATTGATAACCTAACAAGTGCCCATCTCCCATTTTTTTTCACAATTATCTTCAAATTTGAATAGGTGTTTTTGCTAGGTATTTTACGGTATGCAGGAATTTATCATGCATGAACTTAACTCTTTCCTGACCACGGGAAAAGTAGCAATTTTCAAAGGATTCATACAAATGCTTTTATTTCCTTAACTCGCATATGAAGGGAGCAATATGACACATCAAAATGTGGCCAAATGTTTTTTCAAAAGGAACAGAAGTTGGTATAATGTGGGAAAAAGATTTTAAAATTATATTTCTTGAGAAAGTACAGTGTATGTGTGGAAAACATATAAATGCCAAAACTTCTACAGCTATGTCAAATTTAACAACAAATAAGAAAAATTCAGAATACAGAAACTGTGCCCCATACCCACGGCTATTACTTCTGAAAGTTAGTGTACTCTAACTGACATTGTCTATTTTTAGTTTGTCGGAAAGTTGGCCTCCGTAACATGTGTGCTTTTCAACAAAGGAATGCTTGTATTGGTGAAACACAGATACTACACCTCACATCCCCAGCAGAGTGCTTTGTTTCTGTTTTGCCTTCATTTTGTTATTCGCAACTGGAACTAACTATAGGTGGCGCCACTCATTTTCCAAGATGGCGGGTTTAGTGAGGGTCAGAGATGCGTGCCACTGTTGAGCCTGTCTAGTGTGCTGGCTTGACTGAGCGACATAATTTATTTCTGGTAATACGAGGAAGCTAATGTTTTATGAGCGCAGGTCACCTCTTTAACCTCAAAACAAGAACGGTGTTTAGCGTATTATTTACGGAAGGATGCGCGTTTTGAATTCTGGAGCGAAACCGAAACTTACCTCTATTTTGGATTTAATTTCTCGATATAGGTCGTAATTTCGGATTCTTTCATGACTCAAGATGTGTCTCGCATCGTAATTATTTACTTGGAAAAGTTGTTTGCGGAAATTTTATTTTGTGAAATACTGTTCGATTCAGGCTGATATTTGTAGTTGTTGAAAAAATCAGTGCTGATATATGTGCGTTCTCGCTGCTTTTTTCTTGCTCAGATAATTGCCATGGAAAATAAGGACAATTATTTCAGCACAAGGACTAGAATAATTATAATTTTTACAATATGTCCACCAAACGAATAAACTAATAAACGCTGTTCTCACTAAAAAAAATTCAAAGACGGAATCCGAGTCAGACAGCTGAAGTGTGAGTGTGTTTTTATAGCACCGGGCGTGACGCGTAGGACTTCATATTACATCCAGTGTTTGACTGTTTGTCTATCTTGATAACTATGTCAGAGTTTTTCATATGCTAAAAAGAAAACAGAATTATACCTTTCTGTAAAGACTATTATGGTTAAATAGCGTATTCTCGTGATCTTGGCGTTAATTGGAGGCATACATTGCCGCGATTTGTATTAATATTAATAACATTAAAATTCAAATATTTGAATAAGTAATTCTTCAAGCTCTAATATAATTTGTTGCTTATGATGTAATTTTAAACGTGCGAAGAAATATGACAATGAAAACTGTGCTAATTATCATCACTGGTTCTATTTGCTGCATCTTAATTACCAATAAAATAGAAATAGTCTAAAATCAATTAAAACATTCTAGCTAATGTGAGAAATCTATGTAAAATTACATTAATTGTGGGTAAAGTATATTGTGCTATCAAAGTCGTGACCTTTGACAATCGGCGAAACGTCCAAAGTCGCCGTTAATATACTTCCAAACCCAATGCCCAAAAGTAAAAAAAAAAAGCTTTTTTTTTTTTAATTACTAGTTTTTTCATAACATTTATTTACTTTTGTATTTGCTCGCCGTCTTTTTGCCAATCTCAGTCTTTCCAGTTGGAAGGAATGCCTACCTGCTTGCACGTCTGCTAACTGCAGCACGTTTCGTTGGCGTTGGAAGCCGGTGAAACAGTAGTGAGTTTTAATATTGCGTATACGAGCGAACTCATGCCCTGTGTGTTTGCGTTAGCTTTGCATGTTCCACACTGCGTGTGTGCGGAGCCCGAAATTGCGGTCTTGGATGGCGCATGGCGATGAGGCGCACGCAAAACGTGGGGCACACAACTCCAACGCAAACGCACACCGCTTGCGTTTGTCTCTATGCGCAATACTAAAACTCTCCAGTAAGGTACAATCCCATACGTTGGGACTGTGAAGAGTGTTATTTGCATTCGGAAACAACATTTTTGCGAGCCATGATCGCGAGCAGTTCCGCCATGCCCGCTGAGCAGGAGAATCGGGGGACCCTCACTAGAGTGCTTCCCGTTTCCGCCGCGGGAGGGCGAGCGTCGAGCTGGAGACGCAAATACCCTTGATTGCAGTTCCTTTATGTTTAGCATTTTTGTCCAACTTGTTGGGAACGTAAAATGTGCACGCCCGCTCAGGACAGCATTAGAAATTATAGTGATGCTTACCGACAAACATCTGTTAAGTGACACCTTTAACATAATTTAAAGTGCCCCCAGAGCTCTTGAGGTCCAAAAAATAGGCCATAGTACAGTTGAATTATGTAAATAATGCAATCCTTGTTACGAAGACTGATGCAACCAGTTAGCCATGTTAGACAAGTGCAGCCACTGTTTCCAGGACTGTTTTTGACAGCCCACCAGCTTGCAATAAAGCTAAAACCTATGTTGAAATTGAAACTAGAGTCCTTCGGCGATCCACGAGATTGTGGAACATAATTCTCTGCACTAAATTTAATTTCTTGACAGCGCTTGGAAACCATCGATCACCGGTGATCGATGGATTATGGGCGCGGCTAGGAAAGAGGTAATAACTTGGTTAAAAAATGATCTATGCAAACACAGTCGAACAATTCTTCTTAAGGTTGACCAACAAGCTGAAAAGAGGAACCTTATTTTTGCCAGCCCTTCTTTTCTCGCCGGCTAGGATTAGAAAAAATTAAGCCTCCTCGGTGGCTCCGAGGTGAGAGCGCTGGCCTATGGATCCCCATGTGGCGGGTTCGAATCCCGGCCGA